ATATATATGCCAAGGTGGCTTCTCCCCCCATGGCAGCTCCTGAGCCCCCTTACCCAACGTGGCTCTGCCAGGTGCCACTAACGAGGGGCACAAACGAGCTCTGGGGCAGCCCGTAGCCTGCAGCTGGATGCGGAGCCTCTCTGGGATGCCCACAGCTCCTGTCTGCACCCTCCACCCTCTCCTCTCCCCTTCCACAGCAGCCAAAGGGACACAAAGAAAAGAAAGAATTGTAGATACAACTCAAAACAATCATAACTTCAGAGATGGATTTTTTTTTAAGTATAAATTTAGGGATTTCCTGCAGGGATGCAGTTGACACTGCCCAATCCTACAGCCCAGGTGCCCGCAGCCAGCCCCGATGCTCCGGGGAACAGGACCCCATATGGGAAGGATGCGGCCGTTGAGGTGCCCTCGTGGTTTGGTTTCAGATGCCCTCACCCACTGCTTCTCATTTTTCCACAGCACGATTTCTCACTGGAAAGAAAAGTCCTTTACTGGGTCGAGGTAGCTTCCCAGCAGCAAACCTCCCAGCACCGGGTCACCTCCGAAGTCGTCCCCACGGCTCCGCCGTGCTGGCTGCTGCTGGTGGATCCCACCGACAGCTGCGGGGGGAGAGCACGGGACGTGGCGGTGCGACGCTGCATCAGCCTGAGCGCTGCGGACGATGGCGGCTACGGGCACAGCAAGGGCAGGGGTGCCTTGTCTGACACCGAGAGCGAGACCTGGCACTCGGAGGAGGACGAGTACTCGGAGGATGATGAGTATTCCTCCACTTCTTGGGAAGAGAATGACAAGGATGAAAAGCTTTCCAGGAGGAGAAACACCGGGAAAGGTCTGGTTCTGCATCCCAGCTTTTACCAAACACGACCAAAGACATCGCCCGGCTTGCTGGAGCCCTCACCGGAGAACAACATCCTCAACCTGGCCAACCCCAGCAAGCAGAGGAGATCCATGGTGATATTTAACAACATGAAGAACGAGCTGGAAGCGGCCAGGAGGAAGCTGGCTGCTTTGGTGCATCCTCTGAACAGAGCTGCCGCCGACAGCGGGGGGGGCCCGGTGCCACAGCCGCTCCCCCAGCGTCCCCGCACCAGCCGTGGCATCAAGTACGGGCCAGCCCCGGACGTGTCCCAGCTGGGGAGCTTCATGCCGGCTCCTCCGGCTGCGGTCATCCCCCCCATCAGACAGCACAAGCCCACGGTGCCGGTGAGGTGTTTGCTTCTGCTCTTTGCTTGTTGCTGACACGGGAGCAGGGTGGAGGGTGGTGAATTGGTCCCGTTTGCTGGGGTCTGGGCAGCAAAATGGAACTGAAATGGGGCTTTGGGAACACTGAACCCAGGAGAAATTGCTGATGAGTTTTTATAAGAAGTGAAGGAAGGGTTTGTGTTGGGTTTTTTTGCTGGGGTTTAGAGGGAAGCTTTCTGGGAGGATGTTTGCTTGCTGTGTCCTAACCAAAACATCCCTGTTTTTCCCAACAAGCAAGGCATCCCATTTGATTTTCAATTGAAACATTAAAAAAAAGTGAAATAAGTTTTTTTCCCTCTTTCCTCTCCATCTTTCCCTCTCTAAAAGAGATATAAACAGAGTAATGGGGAAATCCCCCCTTACAGCCATCATGTCTTTTCTAAGAACCTTTTAACTTCATAGTCCTACTATTTTTTTTTTTCTTGCAGTCCCTCAGCCCCTACACCTGCCTTCCTCCTGCCTCCGTGCCTGCCTCCTCGCCCACCCGACCTCTCTCTTCCCACCGATCCCAGCCGGATTCGGCGGCTGATCTACTCTCGGCGCTGACCCAGGAGGAGCGAGACCTCATCGAGCCCGTCATCGCCTTGGGCTACCCCATGCGCAGAGCCATCCTCACCCTCCAGAAGACGGGGAGGCAAAGCTTAAATCAGGTTGGTGGAGCTGGCACGGTGCCATGGAAAGTTTTTGGTAAAGAATAGCTTGATTTTCATGGAGAAAGGGATGGATGTCTTGCTTGGGGTGGACTTCTGATGGCCTTGGGTTTCCTGCTTTGGTGTCAGACCTCACTTGACGGGTTTTTCCGTGAGATTACACGTCTCTGTTCTCGCCGTAATGAAATAGCAATGAGTCGCCCTCAGCTTTTCAGTGAGTAATAACGGCCAGGGAGCGTTATCTGTTCCATCTGTTGTATGGAGCATGGTGTCCTTTTGAAGTGCAATTTTTGCCCCCGTATATGGAAACTTTTTGCACATAATTTTTTCCTGGCTGTTAGATTCATATGATTCTTGCCATGGCTCATGCTGTCAGAGCGGGACTGTGCAAATACCTCAGGGATTTGTCTGGGCTCTCTCCAAAACACAAGTTCTCCGCGTTGGAACAACCAGGGGCTCCATGCAAGCATAGTGGCTGGGTCCCAGAGCTCTTGTCCTGAGCAACTCTCCATAATAACCTGGAATTTGTTGAAAATAATTAATGTATAACCTCTTCCTACCCCTGCTATCTGAGTACATCACAGCCCGCTGTGCTGCATCCCAAATCCTGAGGTCTCTGCTTCTCCAGATAAACCCTTCGTGGTCCAGGTGGGCTTGGAGCATCCATGTCACGAGGGATGCTGCTGGCTCTGACCCTCTGGCTTGGCAAATTTGGGGCTGCCCAGCCCAGTGGAGGGTTTGGTAGGGCTAAATGATCCAAGGAGCTCTTGCAGAGGGAGAAGGGGCTTGATCTCAGCTTAGCAAGTGCTGCGTGGGCCAACTCTTACCCATCCGGTCAGTGCACGAAGCTGCTCCATGTCTGAGTCATCCCCCAGCTTCTGGCTCCCTCCTGAGTCACCCCCCGGCTGGTCCAGCCTCCCCAGCCCCTCGCTGGTGTTTCAGCCGAGCATCGCTGCAAGCCGAGGTGGGAAGGGAAGATTTATTTCTTCTATTCATCAAGGTTTCCTCTAGGCAGAGGGAGATGGGCTGAGCCCAGCCCACGTTCTTTGCACAGAGCTGTGCAGGGGTGGCTTGTAGCAACTGCTGCCTTGAAGGAGCAGCGCATCTTGTGAAGGATGGAGATGGGTACAGTCTGCTCCCTTCTCTGTAAAAGCAGGACTCCCATCCTCTTGGAGAGGTGATTAATGCAGCAAAACACAAGTTCTACCTTATATCCTGTGCCTTCTTCACCAGAAGTTCCCATCTTTCCCATTTATGACCAACACAGCCAAGATAAAACGTAAGGCATAGCTCTTCGTGCATCTCTTACAAGTACAAACCCACCAAATTAGGCCAAACCTTCCTGGAAAATATGTTTAAACTAAAGTTAAAAACAAGCTGTGGGTGCTCTTCATTGCTTGCTGGTGTCACGCGGGGTTTCAGTGCGTGACGATGACAGCTTCAGCCATGAGGATTGATTGTAGCACCAGATGGTCGCCAAAAATGGCTCCATTTCTTTGCAGCATCAAGTCAAACTGGCAGAGCCCACCCTGGTGCAGAAAGCAGGTCTGCTGCCTTCAGGAGACGAAGCCTTCTCAGTTTTGGTGGAAGAGCCTCTCTAAAAGGCTTGGGTAGCGTTAGTTGTCAGGTTCGTCATCTACAATGTCATGGCCAAGGGATAAACCAAAAATGCCAAAAATTAATCATTGCATTTTGATCAATGCTCATTGATCAATCAAAAGAGCATCGTTGGTCCCTGGAGCTCTCAACGTACGTGTGAGCGAGGTGTGACGGATGGCTGTAGCTGCTCAGCACAGCCCCAGTTCTCAGCCCTGAGACCCAACCTGGCCCACGGTCTGTTCCATCCCATGCCCGGCATGGCCAGGAGAGAGGTGAGGCTCTGTTGGAAGTTCTCTCTCTTGCTCCAGGTTGTCTCCCTCCGGGTCTCCCCTCTCTCAGGGTCGTCTCGGTCTCTCGGACACTCGGGCTCTTATCTCCGTTCCAGGATTGTGGTTTCGGGACTCTCCCTGCTCTGGGATCATTGGCCGGGAACGGGCTGAGCCTTGGCCATGGGGTGGTGAGCACTGTCACCCTGTGTCACTCATTTGGATATTTGTATATATTACTATTATTATTTCCAACATTATTGTAGTTTAGTTATTAAATTGTTATATCAGCCCATGAGTCTCTTTTCACCCCTTTAATTCTCTCCAGCATCCCCGGGGGAGGGTGAGTGAGCAGGTGACTTGTGTAAAACCACAACAGGGGACCTCATGGGGACAAACCTTCTGGTGGGAGTCAGCCAAGGTGGTACAGGGACACAGAAGATCAAACCCACCAGAACATCCCATCGAAGTGTGACAAGGAGCCTCCTGGAGAGCTACAAGGGGGAGAAGGAACTTCGAGAGGGCAGTGGCACCTCCTCCTCCTCCCCAGCCAGTGGTGGGGCTGGTACCGAACCCAAGGGGTTAGCAGGTCGTAGTATTTAAAACCTGTTTGTGTTTAGTCTTGAGGATATATATATATTATTTTAATGATAAAAATCTTTGAGTTGGAAACAGCACCGATTTCATGCTGGGCTCGAACAGGCTGCCAGGGCTGGCTGGGCTCTGCCGTGAGCGGCCGTCCCGGCTGCCACAGGGCAAGAAAACCCAGCAGTGGGCTGGGGTTGGAGTTAGTAAGGTAACGGGGAAAATCAAACCAGGTGATGAATGGCAGTGACCAACGACTATCTCATTTTTGATGCTCCTTAAGGCTGACATTTCTTAAAATCCTTACTCTGCTCTTTAGCCAAACCAGACCAACTCAATGTTTGAAGGACTTTTTTGTTTTTTCCTTATGTTTTATGGTTTTTTTACTGAATCCTTCTCCTTGGCTGAGATGGTGCTGGGGGGCATGGAGGTCTGTGCACTGGTGGATGTGGGGAGATATGAATCAGCTTCTCCTCCGATGAAGACAGCACAGCTTCAGGGAGACCAGTGGGATGTTTTTATTCCCCCTGCTATTGTACGGCTCATTTATTATTGCCTGTCCCATATTTTTTTGGACGGTGAATGGTTCTTGTGGTATTTAAAAGATACCGCTGGGAATTGTGCTGTCAGCACTCCAAGATCAACGAGGAAAGCCAAAAATAACTGTTTGCTTTCGCTAATGACAGCACACGGGTCTCCCCTGGGGTGGGTTTTGTGCTTGGACCCCGAAACAAACCCACGGGTGCCCAAACCCTGGCACGTCGAAGGGATGGAGGGTCAACCAAGGGTAGACATCTCACCGGGATTGCTCCTTGTCCTCCCTCCGCCTTGTTCCCGTTCCTGGGAGGGTGGAGGGGACCGAGATGTTGTCTTCTCATGGTGGGAGTCCTACGGATGGACAGACCGCCCTGGCTGAGCGTTGGATGGGACCAGCAGGACAGTTGTGCCCCGCGTCCTCCCCATGACCATGTCCCTGGAGGGTGGGTCCCCATGCCTGCGAGGTTGGGTGAGCCCTGGTTGTCTTCTCCTGCAGATCCTGAGCTACCTGGGTGCCTGCGACCGGCTGCTGAAGCAGGGCTACGAGGAAGGGCAGGTGGAGGAGGCCATGGAGATGTTCCAGTACTCGGAGAACAAGGTCAGAGTGGGGTGCATCCCCCAGACTCACTTTTCCAGCGGGCTGCACGCTCCCCTCCACCTCCACTGCCCCTCGCCCCGCCTCCGGGCAGATCAGCCCCACTGCCCCCCAAGCAGTGACCCCACCCTCGCAGCAGACCCCATAAGGACCCCCTGGAGAAGGACCATGGCTCCATCATTCTTCTCCATCCACCCTCTCACCCCACCAAGCACTATGCCTGGGAGGTCCCCTGCCCCGAGCCCCCCTGCATCCACGCTCACCCCCTCCGTCCCAGCTCACCCCCCCAGGGAGAAGAACCATGGTCTCCATCCCCAGTCTTCTCGTGGGGCTGGTGAAGACCCTGGGGAGGTGGAATTGCTTGAAA